AGTCATTAGTCTCTTATTTTAAATTAATTATATTTCAGAAAGCGAATAATCCATATTGGCTGCATAAAAGGCATTAGTCCAAAAATAGAAATCTTAAATAACTAAGAAACTATAAATTATTTTTATAATTTTTAAAACCATTTTAAGTAGAAAAGTAAATAATAAATAACGTGTAATTTATACAAGTCCATCAACGTGTACATGTTGAGGTGATGTGTTGTACTTAATTCCCTAAAAATAATTTAAAATTAACTAAGGCCCTTTCTGCGATTCAAATGTATTAGAGGCCTCCCACTAAATATGCATCAAAAATTATTGTTATACTTTTTATTGCTGCCACCCATTTATTTGTCAATTGACGGCTTTTCGGAAATCTGAAATTAGGAAAGTATTTTAACCTTATTTACCTTTATTATGTACCTCTAAAAGAAAAACTTTTTGAAAGTTTTATTTTAGACTATGTTTTCTTTTTACGGTAATACCCGTGCTGTGCGTTAGTTGTGAAATAAAAGACGACCAGTTTGTGAAATGTGAAGACGATAGACGACTGATTAGCTGGGACAGGAAGCACGGGTGTTTACCTGAAGCAGGGAGAAGGGTCACAAGCACGTTTGCCAATAGGGATGGGCAAGGGGAAAACACATATCGATATATATCGAATCGATATTGTTAAACAGTGTCGATATATATCGCGTGATAAATATCGAGTCATCATTTGTATGATGTAAAGATAAGGTCTAAAAGAATAGAATAGAATATATTTTTATTCAATATAGATCACGTGTAATTCTTATTGAAAGTCAGTTTTTACTTTACCACTGGTTCGAAAAAAACCTCTGTCCTGGGAAGAACCAGCAAGAAACCCAGCGGGACTTTTTTTAAAAGCATATTTTACATTAATGGTTGTACAAACTATATAAGTACAAAATTTATTTTAGTAACAGCTTGGAAGCGACCACCTCATTCCCAGGGGTTATTATCAAACGTGTATTCATGTATACTATTACAACCCTTTTTATACAGTTTCAACTTAACAAAACATTTAAACTTGGTAATAGAGAGAGCCTGTACACTTTCCGGGACCTTGTTGTAATAGCATATACATTGCCCCAAAAATGAATTACTGACTCTGTGGAGTCGAGAAAAACAGTGGATTCAATAGGGCTCAGTTCTTCCCCATTTATAAACATATTGGTACTCAGATTTTTAACATTCGTTGTTGTGAATTGAATCATCAAACATTGAGAGCATAGAATTATTAAACTGGGTAATAATTCTATGCTCTCAATGTTTACAACGTTGTTAACGAGAGACTTGTGGACGATAAATCCAACACCTCCTTGGGACAGATGGTCGCCCTCCTGATGATAGAACAAGTTGCCAAATTCGAGGATTACTCCCCCTCTCTTCGGACTTCGGATAATATTCCAACGCAACTTGTCTATCTTTTCTTCCAGCTCCAGGATCTTCTCGTCAGTCCTCAGGGTGCTTGCGTTATAAGTTGCCAGGTCCAGTCGTCATAGGTGGCAACCGAACCTCCACCGGAGATGCCGTTACCATGGTCGCCACCGTAGCCAGGAATAGCGGGGCCGCCGGGTACTGGGGGCCGTTTATTAAATTAATTTAAATTACGCTTCTTTAAATTAAGAGAATTTACTTCATATATTTCAGTCTTATTTCCTTCGCCGCGTGAGTGCAAGAGGCAACTACAAATTTAAAAAAAAAAAAGTAGGTACAAAAGAAAGTATTTGCTTATATTTTGTCTGGTAACAATTTTATATACTTTTTCAAATTTGCATTTCAAATACTGTGTTGTTCACGTATGAAATATAACGCACCCAGAAGTAACTGAAAATGAAATATAGTGCGAGTACAGTTCCATAGTAAGGCATTTGGCCATAGAAAGTAACGTCATCAAGTGTATGATACGGGTCATAATTTCTTCACTTTATGTAATATTATTTAGTTAATTACTCACTAGATGGCAAAATTTAAGAAATGAATCAGTGATCCACGTTACACATTATATTTCAAATTGCAGTTTAGGAACTTTTATTTTTGCATTTTAATATATTTGCCCATTAACATTATTTTTATTTATCTTATAAATTATAAACTATGTATTTCGTAATATAAATGACAAATAAAAGTTGTTTAATCCATTATTTATAAAGTGTAAAATATCTTTACTATCTGTACTACAACAGAGTTTTCAGAGGTATTTTTAGGGACTTATATATTTTTTTTACTTTAGCTAATTTTTGTTTACAAGTTTACGACGATTGCGGCGCAGCTGGCTGTACACCTTTTGAAAATGTCACAAACTTCAGGGTGTATGTTCTGTATTAATTATCACGGTTGCAATTTATTTTATTGTTATATCTGATTCGCATTGCAACGAAATAGCACGTCATTAATAAAGGTTTATCCATTAACTAAAATCTATGTTTATTATGTAGACTTGAAAAACATGCGAGTGCTGTAAGTGTAAAAACGACAAATTAGTGTTATTGAAGATGATTAAATATAGAGAAATTTAAAGTTTTTTGCTAGGCATGATTATACAAGGCAATGAGTAAGCTATTTAATAGAAGGGTCTTTTAAACCGCCCATAATGGCCATATCACCCTGTGGGTGTCGTACGAGGCGACAGAGGGAATCTGAAATAGATGGGTAAAGCAGCCTGTATCTGATGATTACTCAATAGAAAACTATGGTTGCTTAGCAAGCGGGAAAATCCTTTGTTTAGCAGTGAACCTTGATATGCTGTAACTATAATGATGATGATGAAGGGTAGGAAATGAGCACCTAGTCCACCTGATGGTAAGTGGATACTATAGCCTGTAGATCTACTAAGATGAAATGCTACAGTACTAAAAAGGCTCTCCAGTTCTCTACACTCAGCATACGAAACTGAGCAGCGTTGAGCTGCTATTTCACGGTGGTATTTTGTAAGAGCTTGGTCTTTTCCTCGTGGAGTCGATCCATTCGTGCTACAACCATAATATAGCTGCAGCGTGGCTCTACTACATAAATACATACCACTACACAGCATCATAGCGTGTGTCTGCGCCTAACGCCTTTATTGAGCAATGCATCAGGCTCTCTATTAAATTTTTACTCTTTAAGGTATTACGTCAAGTGTCATTTTTATCTCCCCACCTCAACACACAAATCATTCATCCATCTTTTAACGAACATTGCTCTCACCTATTTTATATTTCAAAATATGTAGTGAACCTGCAATATATTGAATATATAATAAGACTCCGTGTTTGCATTTACGTGATCTAATACGAGAGAGCGTGATATAGTTACGATGCTATGTGGTGATGGTGTGTGAAAATCCACTAGCCCATATCGTCCTGTGGGTATCTTAAGACAGAGCGAACAAACAACTGAAACAAGAGATGAGGCACAGCAAGCCACATGTAAAATAATTAAGGCAAATATCTCCCCTATAAGGCAATCTATGGGGACGCCTACGTTCAGCATAAGACTTTTATAGGCTGTAACGATAATGATAAACGAAACGAAAAAATAAAAGCATAAGCTATCATTTAAATTGAAAAAAAAAAAACATAAGATCTGGTTAGTATCCACAAACCTCTCCTATTTGGTTCATATTTTAAGGTATCATTTTTTTTTGGTTTTTGAATTAGCTTCTTCCGAATAAATGCTGTTTTAATTAGCATATAAAAAGGAAAGGTTTTTTCACTCATTCTGTAATTAAATAAGAAGTTCACAAAGAATAGATTTTTATCTGGTACACTTTTATATAAAACATGTTTACTTAATATTATACACATTTTACCAGATAGCTCATGAAAAAGGTTTTACTATAGATGTGCCAACTCGGAAAAATTAACTCGAATCACTCAACTCGAGTTTAAAACTGAAACAGAGTAAATAATTTGTTACAAATTACTTTTTTATAAATTTGTTTTTCTATCTAGCTCTTTAGTAGGTTGGGATAACTATAATTACGTAACTTATTATGTTGTATTTAAATAAAAAGTCATATATAGGATCACATACTTATGTATTTTTGGTTTTAATCTTAGTTATAGTAGGTTAGTAGCAGTAGCAGTTTTCATCACACAATATTAGCCTAGCTTTAAGATGTAGATACATAAGCTATGAATAGTTTATCACAGTCAAATTATTCTTAAATAAATGAAATACTTTTCAAATTCTTTTTTTTATATGGAGTAAGGTTGACAAACGAGCATACAGTCCACCTGATGGTAAGTGGATGCTATGGCCCATAGACATCTACATTTATCCTCAATTAAGAATCAAAATGCAGATACGTTGTCACACCTGAGGATTGAGATGGAATGCCTCGTTTCCAGTATAAAGGGTCTCCAGTTTTCTACACTCACCATACGAAACACAACAGCATTAAACTTTACGTTGGTATTCTGTGAGAGCGTGGTCCTACCCCGGTCGATCTGACCCATTCGTGCTGTAACAACAATATAGCTGCAGCATTTCTCTACCACGTAATTCAAATTATTTATTGTAAGTTAAGTGTTACATTTAGCGTTAATTTAAAATATTATGTATCTTACAACTTAAACAACCTTTTTGGGTATCACAATAATAGGTCTGTGACTTTCATAACTATATTGATCATAGTTAATCAAAATTATAAATGAAATTAAATTACATAACTTAGCTATTATAAAATTCTAAATAACAAATTGTTTTGGTTGTAGCTAAATACTCTTTGAAACACAAAGCGCGCACACAACGAACGAATCGCACGCTTACTCTTTTGTTGGTTCACTTGATCTGTTCATGTATAGCAGCCCAAACTAGAGTTAGGGAAATCCAACTTGAGTTAACTTAAGTTAGTAACTCGAGTTGACCCATCACTAGATTTCGCTGAAGTGTGTATTTTCATATGGCTCTGCAAACTACTTTTTCTAATACATCTATATTCACAGATATTGCACGAAAAAGGTTTTTCTCCGGTGTGTATTTTTATGTGTTTTGTCAAATAAGTTATTTCTTTACATTTATATCCACAGATATTACATGAAAAAGGTTTTTCTTCGCTGTGTACTTTTATATGGGATTGCAAAGTACTATTTCTAATACATCTGTATTCACAGATATGACACGAAAAAGGTTTTTCTCCGGTGTGTATTTTTATGTGTCTTATCAAATCAGTTTTTCTTCTACATTTATATTCACAGATATCACACGAAAAAGGTTTTTCTCCAGTATGTGTTTTCATATGCATTTGCAAATGACTTTTTGTATTACATCTATATTCACAGATATTACACGAATAACGTTTTTCTCCGGAGTGCATTTTCATATGCCTTTGGAAATTTGCTCTATCTGTACTTTTATAATCACAATTATTACAACAGTACACTTGTACAATCTTTCCAGGATGCTTCCCTTTTTTAATAACTGGTCGACCATCTTTTTCTAGTTTAGGCTTTAATTTAATATTAGGGCTTTCTAAATTGAGGTTTCCTTTATGAACATTGTTTATGTTACAATCTGTAGAATTTGATTTAATCTTTTTCTCAAACGGTTTTGAAAAATTATTTGTTTGTATGGAGTGTTGTTCTGAAATACACATGTATCAATCGTTTTATTCATTGTAACACATTGTATCTTTATTCTAAGACATAATAGACGGTTTACAATGGCCGGAGTTCATGCCTTATGGCATTCCCTATCAGTCAACCCAGGGAGAAATAGAGAAATTATAATATTTTACATAATTATACTCATTTAATGTTGCTAGATAGTACTTTAGCCAATTAGTCTGGATAATGTTTCGCATATTCATTTTTGGAGGGAAAGAATGGTAAAAAGAAAAACTAAATTCGAATGACATTCTTCTGACCATGTTATAATTACATTAATCTAATGATCGCTGTTTTGAATCCCACACATGCAGTACTTTTCGTAGATATTAAGAATATAGCAGATGTAGCCGTGTGTGAAGGTGTGGCGTATTAGCATTCATCATCACATTTGTCCCGTGGGTTTCGTAAGCGGCGACTATGGGTTTGCCAGAAAAATCTGATAGCTTTCGACTGATGGCGGTATAACCACTTCGTTTACTGCAGATGTAAAATAACCAGACCGGCGACAGGCAACATTGTCAGAGGTGCTTTGTGTTTACGTCCTGATTCTACGATCGTTAATCCTATGCCAAGTTCAGCAATGGAAGTTTATGGGACGATTAAGATGGATCCATAAAAACACAAAAAAAGCTCTGGCAGCTCAGGCTAGGTGTTTGCCGTAAAATATCACAGTACTACTCACATACTGTACCCGGGTTCGATTTCCATTGGCATCCATAAAATAGTTGAATTACAATTTCAACACTACCTAGACGTCAAATTCAGCATCATTTTTTACACTAATATTATCTCTGGTTGGGATTCTAACCCAACCAGAAGTACGTTTTGATCAGCAGTGCTACTGTGGAAAATTAAATATGATGCTTAAATTAATTATGCTGTTAACTCAGTTTTAATGTTTGATTTCGTTATACATATTATTATAATAACACCTTGGGTCACCACTGCGGAATTCAGTTCATGCATGAAACAAGATAATTGTATGGCCTACAAATAATCATTTTGGTTCTAATGTCTGTTCATGTGTAATTAAAGAACAAAATTTTATATGTACAGTACATCTCCAACACATGATCCAGAAGAAAATTTCTTTAATTTATTTTTTTAATTTATTGATAAAAGGTTTTTAAAATAATTTTTTTTACCTATGTCATCAACATCTTTTTTATTATTTCTGCACTCCTTTTTTAATTTTCCAGTCTTAGATTTCTCTTTCTTCTTTGATTCAAATGCAATTAGTGGCAAGTCATCATCCAAATCCGTATGTTGATCTCCATAAGCATCAATTTCCAAGTCTTCTTGTTTTTTAGCAGTCTCTAGAAAGAAACAGGTTCTGAATCAATATATGAAATAAAAACTGATATTTTTTCCAAGTGATTAGATCATTATAGTCCATCACACAGCTTATGGGCCTAAGCCACCCACTTTCATTATCATACTGCATATTTCGTAACCTAAGTGTAATAAACTGAAGCGTCAGTGGGCCGGCCATACAGCTCGAAGAACTGACAACCAATGGAGAAGAAAGGTTATTTCGTACCGGTAGACGAATTGTAAGGCAGGACCTCAGATGGAGTGACGACCTGGTAAGACATACAGGAAGTTGATGAACGCAGGCCGGTGCTTAGTGGTTATCTTTGGAGAAGGTCTATGTTCAGCAGTGGACTTGTGAAGGGCTGTAATGATGATACTGATTCATTCACCTCATTTAGTGAGTGTTCTGCCGCAACTTGTTTTTAGTAGGTAATTGCTTGCCAGTACAAGGATGCCTTGAGCACATTTTCTGTATTTTTTTTAAATGAAATGACAAACAAAATAGTCCACCTTATGGTATGTAGCTGATCCACCGGTAAGTGGGAATTGGTAAGTGGGTACTGAAGTCCATAGACTGCCTGCAGCTAACTTCCAACATAAAAGACTATAATGTGCTGTCACCTCTGACAACTCAGATGGAATATACTGACTCTATACCCTTCAGATTGGAACACAGTAGTACACGCACTGCTATTTGACGGCAGATATAGGTAAGAGGAAAAGGGAGGAGTCCATGTGGGTAAGTACAACTAGGTCGACTCCTACACAATAATAGAGTCCCACCACCTAGTAATAACACTACGAAATTGGCAAACATAGCTGGTTGCTTACTTGAATTTCGACAACTTTTACCTGTGGCGGCGAATAAATATTACGCGACACGCCTGGCGTGTCAAGTGCCACAGACAGCGTTAGAAACGGAAGAATACTTGTTTTTAGTGGGTAGCTATCTGTTTTTCTACGTGTTTTCTTTGAAATTGAGTGATATTTTTTTATGCAGAGATTACAAACCTTTCGTATTATTTTTTGTTTTATAAAAAATTATATTATAAAATTATTTATATAAGTAGGTACAGGTAGAACACCCTGAAAAACCTTGGTTTTTATTAAATTAAAATTTCACATAATACTAACATTTGTAAATATCAAACAATCAAGAACCTTATTTTGGAAAAAAATAAGGTTTATGATTCATTGATATTTACAAATGTTAAATATATTTAATGTTATACAAATATAAAAGTAAAGTCGATCTGAAACCGTCTAATTAGTAAGAATAGCAAAACAAGTGTTTTCAAAAGAAAAAAAACGCCGGCGATGTACGGCGGCGGATTGACATAAGACTATTTATTAGCGAACTTTTCTATGCATGAACGATTTCGAACTGTTTCAAGCAAAAATAAAACTTATACCATATCACAAGACCACATGGTACTTCGTAGGTCTATTCGGCCATATGATAGTAATAAGACCTCAGTTCAACCATTTTAAGCAAAATGAAACAATAAGAGAAACGCATTTTAACCGTGGTAGAGCCACGCGGCAGCTTTTGCTGTCGCACGGATGGGCCGGCTCGAACCGGGGTGGTACCACGACCTCACAGAATACCAGCGTGAAGTAGAGGTTTACCTATGCATTTCGCTTGGTGAGTGCAGGTGGCCGGAGGCCCTTTTTACTGGAAATGAGGCATTCCATCTTAGTCCTCACGGGTGACAACGCATCTGCATTTTGATTTGTAATAGAGGATAGATGTAGATGTCTATGAGCCGCAGCAACCACTTACCATCAGGTGGAATGTGTGCTCGTTTGTCACCCTTATCCTATTGTTACGGCCTACGGTTGCTCCCTTAAAGGATCCAATCCCCTGGGGCCCATCAGCAGAAGACTTCCCGAGCAAACGTAGGTCGGGCCTCCTAAGGCCACGTGGAATCTCTCTAATTACACTAAAATATATGGGGGAGCGTTATACTACGGCCAGTCGACCGGAAGGAATTTGGCGGAGTTCACTTACCTCTATCCAAGGCGACTGGTCCCTCCGGAGTCGGTCAGGTCGCATGTGGTTGTGTAGTGCAAGGGAAAGAATGGTGATGTGGTGTGTATCTGGGTGTGACTGATGGTGATTGAACCTAGACCTTAGCCGTCGGCAGCAGCCCGAGCGTCGACACCGCTCCAACTTGAGGGGGCCTTTCGAGGTTATCCACAGTCACTTTCTTGGTTCACCACGATGACAGTCACTTAACTCTATCGTACGATTAACTAGCTTACAGAAGCCACTAACTATCGCGGGGTATAAGGTTACCGCACAAAACACGCCCGGAGTTTCTAGGTCAAAGGTCACTACCGTTTCGCGTGGCAACAGTTCTAAATACCGAGGCCGCACTAGCTTATATTGCCGAATGCACTTATACAGATTCTGAGTCGGACCCAATAAGTCCCGGGAAAGGCTTTCTAAACAGGGAATACGCGTTATAATTCCTAGACAGGATATTTACTAGACGCCCTAACTATTCCGCGGTTCCCGCACAAATTAAAGGCGTGCAAACATTAGCACATCTGGCAGATGACTGACTCGCTTGCGACCCGCGCGCCACTGTGACGCTCGGAAGAACTTCAGACCGGAATCGCGCCGAGCCGAGTGACATCTGGTGTCGATTCCGACAACAGAGTTTTGCGCGAACAAACCCCCGTCCCGGACATAAGGATTTAGGTCCGCGAGCAAACCGGTCAGCGGGACAAGGTCGAGACTGCAAGTTGCAAGACCGAATCTACAACCAAACTAGGCCACCTTAGGCAATCTATTAGGTCTTGCAACCCTAATCAACGCCTCAAAGATATCCCTAATGTGGCAAGCCGGAGGGTCAGCCTCCACTGGATGCCCCTCCTGGGCATCGCAGCACTTTAATAAGTCCTGTACTGGACAGAAGTCCGACGACCTCTTTCAAACACCATCTGTGCCCCTATGATTAGTTCCGCAATCCGACCGGATCAGCTCTGCAAACAGTGACGCGACACGAAGCGGCCTCGAGCGGCCTCCTAAGCTTCAGTGCAGAGAGCACCCACAAATTCCACATGAACGTCGTCTGTGGAGAGCCGAACGAAACGCACAGATAGTCCCTAGTATGAATTTTCAACAAGTAGGCCTAGCCAGGCCACCCACCATATTATCATTTACTAAAATAGTGCGGCAGCTGATTTCAATCTGATAATCTCCAAAACTAGCTAGCCTGTTAGACAAGTAGTCCTATGCTCATATTTCAACTAATTTTTCAAAAGCATCAATGTTCAACTACAGAATTAATTCAACCAAATTAATCACCGATGCGCATAGGTCAACTTGCAAATTAAACAAAACAATAACGTAAGGGACAGCCCTACTTCTTAGAAAACAAAAATGATTAAACACTATCATAAACATAAACATAATTTTTCAAATAGTGCGCCATTCCATTTCAGATGAATTCAAATTTTCCTTTCAGCAAACAAACGCAACAATCAAATACAGTGATTAAATATATGTACAAAACACATGCAGTAGCATTTAAAGGAGTAGATTAAATTCAATTCTTTTAATTTAAACCGCTACAAATAGGAGAATTTCGCGGAAAGCCCAAAGCAATTTTTAATTTTAATTCAAGTATTTTTTTTTGACTAAGTGCTCGACCAAACCAAATCTAATACCCCTTGACAGCGTGATTCAACGCTACAGGGGGGCCCTAATCTTCCCACCACCAAGGGGAGGCCACATGGCGTGAACCCGAGATAAATAGAGCACAACCTTTAACAGTTGCCACTCGGGTTGTACGCCTTCACTGAGGCCGTCGGCAACAGAACATTTTGACAAGTGGACTGTTGACGGCTTAAGGCTCAGTGGAGGCGGCCGTGGTGGGAACTAAGGCAGCAGCTAGACAGGGCCGCCTCCATCAAATGGGGAACAGTGGTACACCAGTCGCGGCCACTCAGCTAACGGAAATGAGAAGGGTCCAGCGGACCGATGAGTGGCCGTGAAGTTCCTCTCCACACGCTGAGGGGGGGTGATGACACCCCCGCCTCTGGGGGAATTACCCCCCGACTGGTCGGGGGAGGGACTCCTTTCAAACTTAGGGGCCTGGTGGCTGGACGGCGGGCGCCGACAGTCACCCTGCAGAGGGCGTGGCTGAGCGCCCCCGCCCGTGGGGGTCGAGGGCCTGGCAGAGCCCCGAGAGGAGATGCCGTTCGCGCCCAGGCACAAAACGGCATGGTGATTGCCCTGGCAATGCAGACAGGGCCGTCGATGCGGACAGTCTCGCTGGAGGTGCCCTCCCAGACATGACCAGCACCAGCGGCGCTCCTTGGCGATAGTTCGCCTCGCTGGAACCGGCTTACCTAATAATTTCGGGCACGACGTTACCCGGTGATCAGATGCTCGACAATAGGAGCAGGGGGGGGTTGACGACGACTTGCCTGGCGGGTTCAGCCTCTCACTGGGCACGTCTCGCAAGTCGTCAACGGTGCCCGCCGCGTTCTCGATCTGCCGGCACTGCTCCTCCAAAAACCGCAGCAGGTCATAGAAGGGCGGAATATAGGAGGCCTCGTCCCCGCCGTACCTCTCCTCAAAATGGATTCGCAGGTCGAGAGGTAGACGGGACAGCACGATGCGGAGCAACAAAAAAGCCCATTCGCCCACTGGTAAACCCAGCCGCCTCAAAGTATTACAGGCCACCAAGACTGGATCCAACAGGTCCGGACGCAGTCTGGCCCGGTCACTAAGCAGCGGGAGGCTTAGAAGCTGCTTAACATGCTCGTCTGCAATTCGCCGGACGTTGGCGTATCTTCTGGCTAGGAGGTCCCGAGCAGTCTGGTAGGCGTCGTCCGACAATTTCAAGTGGCCGACGACGCCCAGGGCCTCCCCCTCCAGTGAGGCCAGGAGGTACGCCATCTTTTGGCTCGGGGTCAAGTCACTCCGGGCGTCCACTAGGCTGTCGAAAAGACCAACGAAGGTCAGCCATTCGGAAAGGACCCCGGAGAACTTTGGCAGGTCCAGAGTTGGGAGTCGTCCCAACAGCTCCGGCTGAAGCTGCTTCAGAGAGGACTCGGACAGGTTACTCATCCGAGCTTCACGCGCCTCCTCGGCATACCTGCCTTCAGCCTCGATCAACTCGTCCGTGAGCCACAAGAACTGCTCATAGTCCGCGAAGCAGGAGTCCAGGACTCCCTTCT